AAATCATCAATTAGCCTATATCTATCTGATGTTGTTCAAACTGCGATTGAAACTTCGACCAGTCTGGCCTATAAGGCATTGCAGTCGTCGCACTTGAGCTTGTTGGCCCGATATTTTTTGAATTTGTCCCGTGATGACTCAGAGAATTATTTATAAATGTTACTGTTGTGTGAGTTGTGAAGTATTACTTTTACCATACTCATTAAATTGAAATGAATTTACCCATATTGGAAGCCGAAACTGTAGAACGTAAAAATGGACGATTTTCAACGGATCATCTATATCAAGAGATCAATCAACTCACGTAAGATCATTGTACAGGGTGTAACATAAGTACATTAAAATATTCCAGTAACGTATTCATGAGAAAATTACTCTCTTCAAATCGTATTTTTACAACCGTAAGCAGCATGTCCAACTCAATGGCCTCAAGCCACATCAGGTGTAGAATAAAGGTCAAACCTAGGACCCCTACTGTTCAATATGTTCATCAATGATATGGAAGCTGAGATTGATGTCAATTTCCTTTTATACGCAGATGACTTGAAACTCCTATCACAATATAACATGTTCTAATGATTGCGAACGTCTCGCCCTGAATTCAAATCGTTGCTACATGGTGTTGGAAGAATAATCTCTCAACATATCCAAATGTAATGTAATGTCTTACTCACTGAAAACGAATCTGACATTACACAACTACGTCATAAACAATCAAGTTCTGGAGCGTCCTGACACACTCACTGATCTATGTGTTACTTTTGATTCATTTCTCTCTTTCAATAAACATACTGATACTAGTCTGACAGCTGCTTATAGCATGTATGGATTCTAAGTTAGAAATAAAGACTTCGAAAATGCTTCAACATTGAAATTACTTTATTTAACTGTTGTTCGTTCTAGGCTGGAATATGCATATGTTAGGTGGAATCCCTACTATCACGTTCATACAAATCAACTAAAAGCCCTACAGAGGCGCTTCCTGAAATATATGTCTTTCAAACTTGAAGGCACGTATCCTACTGTATGAATTGTTTGAAACTCACAATTTTTGTGGTCTCGAGGTGAGGTGAGCAAACAAATATAATGAAAAAATCTCCAATTTATACAATGTGCGATACCTCTAATTCAGTTAGTCGTGTCCTAGATATATATATATATATATATCCAACCGCCAGATTATACGAATCAAAAGACATTTCTTGGCTAACTGACAGTTCTGTTTTTATGTGTATGTGTATGAAATAAATTAGTAAATAAAATAAATAAATAAATCAGT